TCGGCGCCTTCTAGATCGGTAAATTTTGTCGGGTTTGTCAAAATGGGTCGGAAACGGACGAGTCCAATTAAATCGTTTTCCGATGTGTTGGGTCGGGATATTTAACTGGAAATACTCGGGGGTATAGGCGATCGAGTCTATGGTGGTAGATCTTGTGTTTGTGACCGGAGTTGAGAGAAACGATCGAGTCTTTATTCGGGTCGGGTTGTGGTGGTTTGATCTTCGATTTCTCTCTCCTCCATGATTGTTTCCCTCTCTAACCGGTGTTGATGGACCGATCTAGTGATGGGCTACACGTGGGTGTGTTGATCGGGGTTAAAATCCGATAGAAAAACGATCAATTGAGGCTCAAAAGTTTCGACTGGGTAAACGGGTAATCGGGTCCGGTTATTGAGTTAGGGCGTGTTTGGCTTTTCCTTTTTAGGTTTTCGGTATTTTTTTCCTTGTGTTTTTTTTTCTCTGGTCGTGTTTTTTTCCCTTTTTTTTCCTCCTCCCCTACAAATTGAAATCCGAAAGCTTTTTATAGGCCGAAACCTCCTAAAATCTCTCCTAAAATCAATTCAAATTCAAATTTTAATAATCAAATCTTAATTTTGAGATTTTTCTAGCTAAAAATATGGAGATTCTAATTAAAAAAGATTTGTGGAAGATTTCAATAGATTTTTGAATGATTTTATGGACATTTTATATATATACTATTTATTTTTTTTTTGTTTTATTATTCTTTTTTTCCCTTTAAAGGAAAAAATTGGGTTATGACACCTAAAATAATTCATTAAGGATATCATGAGAATTTCATTCACTATCAAATATGTATGTAAAATAAAAACCCCAAATTTCAAATATTCTTTTTCTTACTTCATACATATCCTAAACTTTTATTGTTGAAATTTGATTTTGATATACCATGGTTGCCGATTGATGATTTCAATGACACCACTACAAAAAAAAAAAAAAAAGAGTAAATAGCAATGAATATGACATATATTTGTTCTTGAAATTCAGAATTTCGTCGGTACTTAGGTATAGTGATAGAAATAAGCTGTCAATAAAATGTTTGTTGCTAAGTTTGTTAACGATGGAATAACTAGTCATGTCGCCAACTAGCGACAAATATTTTGCTGTTATTTCGATGTATTTTCATCACTATTTCATTGTAAATATTTTTAAGAATGGTTTGAATTCCATTGCTATATAGAGATAAAAATTCATCGATAAATTTTATCGTAAATTTCGGTCGTTATTTGTTGTTGATATCCATCACTAATTTCCGTTGTTAAAAGTATATATCCATCGATAATAGTTAAATTTAATTTTTTTTGTCGGGGTCTCACCAATCTATTGCTAAATTAAGGTTTTTTTCTTTAAAACAATAATCATTAATAGGCTTTTAAATATTTTGTCATATTAGCCAATAACTAACATTAAAATCATAACATGAAATATTATTAAATAATATTAAATGAATATAAAATAAAATGTCACATATATAATAATATAATCGATATACGAACACATTAAAAAAATTAACAAAAAAAAGTCTTCATTAAGATCATTTGTTACTTCATCTTCCAAATACTAGGTATTGGAAGGAAAATCAAGCTCTTGGATAAGGTGAAGGGGAAGGTTAAAAAGAGGGATGCAATTTGTGAGTGTTTCCTCTAAAATCTATTCTATCCTCTCCATCCATTATTGCATACTGCTGGTATTCCTTTTTGTATTTGTTCTTTACCTCCTTGATCCATTAAACATAGTTATGCTTCATATCTTCTAGCTTCATTCGACTCGGTCATTATCCTGCTCGCATATGACTAGGGAATCATGATGGGGTTAAAGCTAAGTCGATAGTATAATAGGAGTAAACTAGGGATTTATGTGTTTCATGATCGTACACTCTACACTTCTTCTCCCTTTTTACGAGTCTCGAGATATATCTATGACATGTCGACAATTGCAAATGATGAAGCATCATCCAATTGTTGGCTAGTAATCGACGCATGTAATTGGTCTATACACTCCTACGTAATCAAAAAATTATAATATTAAGTCATAAATATAATTTTTGATTAAATTTTCATATGTATAATTACACTTACTCGAAATGCTTTGGATCGTGGATCCATGAACAACCCATCCTAGTGCTTGCGAGTCCTCACGAACAAGTCGAATGATCTAGGTAATAACCTAACTCCTTAACTTGAAAAGAAAACAAAAACAAACAATATGAGATGTAATAGATAATCAAATATTAATAACTCATAACGGTATCGATAGTAGGATTTACCATCCATTGAACATGCTCAATCCGCAAGATGGAGCCTCCAAGTATGTCTAGATAGTCCACTTATTAGCACCACCCGCCTTGCTCTTGTAATTTCGTATCGCTTACTTAGTACGAATCCGAAACTTTAGTGTGTTCTAATCTTTCAATCATGCATCCCATATCGATTATGAGACAAATTAAGGTTTGTTGGTTTTTTTCTTGTAGACTGTTCAACGAGTTCGGCATATCACTTGTATGCCGGATGTTTCAATCCTTTCTTAACCATCTAGTTGATAGCTTTTTTTCTATTAAAAAAATGATTCAACAAGGAAAAAAATTAATATTAGTATGTTTTATGTTATTAATTTAAATCTAATATAAAGAAATAAATAAAATATTACCTTAAACTCATCCAAATAGAAATATTTTATTTCTTTCTATTTTAATTTCCACGTCGAGCCGAAAAGGTTCAAATGCTCTTTGAAAATTTTATTGATTCGGGTAGCTTACTAGATGAATACAAATTGTCGAACATAACAAATAAAAAATCAATTAGTTAACAAATATTTCAAATAATATATATAATAGAAAACAAATTACACATTTAAAATAAAGATAATTCTATTTATAACCACGAATATATCACTTTCACATCATTAAAGATACGAATGGTCCGGTCATTATTAGCACTTTCGCCGGGAGCGAAGAAACCAATAATATGGCTTCGATTGTTGTGCTTAGTTCTAGCTCGGGAGCATCCTTTGGGAGTCTAGGTTATGAAGTAAGTAGGGGTCGCGGGGGCAATGTTGCATGCAATGGTGCCGATGGTGATGCTCGTTGTTACCAATGTAGACATGCTGGCCATGTGTTCGGGAAAAAAGCATTACTATAATCTTGACCACGGAATGAATTTGATTGGATTGGAACCTTGGTTGTGAAGGTTTGAACCATCGTAGCGCGACGTCGTGGGCGAGGTCAACAAATTTAGGCAAAAATAGGGAAAATAGGCAAAAATAATTGAAGTCACCACCTAGTATTATGGATACTAGAAAACTCTATAACTTGGTTTGTTCAAAGTTTTAGATCAAGACTTTATTATGTGTAGGGAAGATTAAAAATCACCCTACCCCCTCTTGTATAAGGCAAGCTACATTACATATAACATTGATTTGATTTCTAATTTCTTTATGATGAAAACCTACACTTACTTTCTAAATATTAATCCATTAGTCGAGTAATTTGGGATCTTGTCGATCCGAGACCTTGTCCTCACTTTGTTATGAATAGCTAAAAAAAACATGATGAATGCAAGGATATATGGCTAATACGACTTAAATGACATGCATGCAAATGAAGCTTAAAAATAGACAAACGGATAAAATAGGCAAGTTGGCGAAAGAGGCAAACGAGACAAAAATAACAAATAATGACAAAATAGCTAAATCGACAAAATCAATAAATAGGCAATTTGGCAAAATAAGAAATATTGACAAATTGACAAATTGACAAGATTGACAAATCGATGAATCGAAATTAGACAAAACATGCAGAATAGACAAATTGGCAAGATAGGCAAAATCAGCAAATAGGTAATTAGGCAAAATGGATAAATTGGCAAGATAGGTAAATTAACAAATAGGCCATTAGGTAAAATCGATAAATAGGAAATTAGCCAAAATCGACAATTAGGAAAAATTGATAAAATTAGCAAATCGACGAATAGGCAAATACGCAAAATCGGATACTTGACAAAATCGAAAAAAATCGATAATTAGGCAAATAGGTAAAATCAACAAAATCATCAAATTAGCAAAATGACAATTAGGCGAGAATCCGTAAAATTGGCAAAGGCTATAAAAATAGTAAAAATGACAAAATTGACAAAAATTATTTAAGTTGATGAAAATGATCCGAAAAGAAGATGAAGATAGACAAGATTTTAAAAGTTGTGATTTTCAAGCGAAATTGGCAAAATCGTTGAAATTGACAAAAACAAACCGAAAACTAGATTTGAGTCTACACAACTCAAACATCATATTTTTTAAATGAAATTGGCCCAATATTGAATTGATCGTCACAAATTGCAACAACGATCCAAGAGTCATTTATTTAGGCAAAAATCGACACAATATTAGTTAATCATTGTGATTGGTAAAATGATCTAAGTCGAGCTCCGAATTAACACATATTAAAAAATTTCACATATTAAAAAATTTCACAAACAAGAACGAACATTTAACCACATCAACAAGCATAAATGTCAACCAAACCAACACAAATGCAATAATAGTTTAATTAAACTATACACACCATGATAATTCAATCAACTCAAACATAAGTAGTAGTTTAAATTAATTTACACAAGACAACAACTCAATTAATTACAAGCACATCAGCATAAATCAAATTTTATACACATTAAAATAAAATAAAATAACATAAAATATAAGGTAAAAATAAATTACTATAAAAAAGAATAGAACGATTTCTTTTGACAAATTGGAGTTAGCTTCAACACTTTCAGCCTCGATGAAGGTCGATATTCAATCAACCAGGAAGACGCCACACTCGGTCATTGTAGATCTTGACTCGGTGCAAGACAAGACAATTGTCGGTGATCAAATCAATGCTACTAGAGTTTGGCACAGCTCGCTGGACGTGTGGGAGAATGACCGGCCTACTATGGTGTGCGGTCCGGCTCGCTGAGGTGCACGGCATGCCGGGCGAGGTCGGCGGGCTAGGGTGCCCGAGCATACGAGTGAGGCGATCGGGTTAGGGCACATAGGCGTGCAAGCGAGGCACTAGCACGTAGGGAGTACGGGCCGGGCTTGCCGGGCACGCGGACATATGGGCTAGGGTGCGGGTAGGTGAACCGATATATAGGGGTGCCTGGTTGGTGTATGGGCCGACAGAAAAGGCCAAGTCGGGGCATGGGCATACGGGGCTAGCTAGCAAAGTCAAGCGGATGAGGTGTTGGCTAACAAAGGCATACGAAGAAGGGGCTTGTTGTTCGAAGGTGGTAGTATGGTTGGTTAGAACTTTTCAATGAGAGGGGTACGCAATCAGCATGTTTGTAAAGAGAGAAAGTTTGGTTTGTTTGGAGAAAAATGGGTTTTTATACTAGGTATTTTAGGGTTTTTGGCTAAAATTTGGTTTGGTTCCTCCTCTCACATGCTTTATTTTGGTTCTTTTCTCTTTCATTTTTCAATTGTATCCCTCAATTATATATTTTTTAATTTTTTTGCTTTTTTATTTTTTATTTTTTCCTTTATGTATTCTTTTTTTTTTTTTGAGAAAAATTTAGGTGCTAATAGTTGCACCCTTTTTACAATGCTTACAACGCAAAACCATTGAAAAATTGACTTTTTTTGGCTTTGCATAGTAAGCTTGTAAAGAAAATCATAGAAGAGCAATAAAAGAATTGATTGACAAGGTCAAATGATGATTGACTCGTTCTTAAATCACTAGTCAATCATGGAGAACCTTGCTCAAAACACGAAGTTAATACGGGTAACCATCCCTAAGGTCAAGAATGTGACCTTCCCTTGGCAATTCAAAAGAGTGTGAATGACATACCCGATCATTATTAAAGAAACATAAATTGTCACCGCCAAAAAATAAACTTTCTACTCTTTTCCTCATTTGCAAGTCATCATCATTTGAATAAGTTCGAGGTTTTAAGGTAGTTACTCTTTTTGATTTTTTTTACTCAAGCACATATCTTCGATTGTATCTTTTTAAAAAAATTTATGATCGAGTTATTGTTCACGTCATTTGAATGGCATTATGCTCTTATAGTTAATCGGGTAGTTGTTCATTCTTTCATTCTCTAGGGCTATTACCCCGTATATTCAGCTTTTATCAACACATATTAAGAAATCGACCCAAAAATCGTTGAGATAGTTTCATTAATACCATTCTTAATTCATCGGGAAGGATCTTTTGCCAAGTTTCACAACAAAAGCCTTCTTATCTACCAAGTCCGAGGCAATTTGGAAAAATAAACAAAATTGATAAATTGAGCAAGATTGATAAATTGATAAATCGATAAATATGCAATTAGACAAAACAGTAAAATAGGAAAATTGGTAAAATAGGCAAATTGACAAGATTGACAAATTGGAAAAATCAACAAATAGGAAATTAGGCAAAATAAGCAAATTGGCAAATAGGCAAAATCAGCAAAATTGGCAAACATGCAATTAGGCAAAATCGACAAAATAGACAATTAGGCAAAATCGATAAAATTGATGAATAGGCAAAATCGATAATGAGAAAAAATCGATAAAAATTAAAAATTAGATAAATAAGTAAAATCGATAATTAGGCAAAATTGATAAACTTGGCAAAGGCTATAGAAACAATAAAAATGACAAAATTGACAAAAATCATTAAAGATGACGAAAATGATCTAAAAACAGGATGAAGATCAACTCGACTTTAAAAGTTACGATTTTCAAGCGAAATCGGTAAAATCATTGAAATTGACAAAAATGAACCGTAAACTAGATTCGAGTCGACACGATTCAAACATGTTTTTTAGAAGATATTGGCCCAATATTGAATTGATCATCACAAATTGCAACGACGGTCCAAGAATCATTTTTTAGGTAAAAATCGATAAAATATTAATTAATCATTGTGGTTGGCAAAAACAATCCAAGTCAAGATCCAAACTAACGCATATTAGAAAATTTCATAAACAACAATGAACATTTAACCACATCAACAAGTATGTCAACCAAACCAATACAAACGCAATAATATTTTAATTAATTAAACTATGCATACCATGACAATTCAACCAACTCAAACATAAGCAGGAGTTTAAATTAATTTAAACAACACAACAATTCAATTAATTACAAGTACATCAAGACAAATCAAATTTTATACATATTAAAATAAAATGAAATAAAATATAAGGTAAAAATAAATTACCGTAAAAAAAGAGTAAAACGAATTCGTCCGATGAATTGGGGTTAGTTTCGACACTTTCAACCCCAATGGAGTCCGACGGTTAGTCAACCGAGAAGGAGCGACGATTTTTCGTTGTAGATCCGGAATCAATGTAAGGTAAAACAATTATTGATGATCGGATCGATATTGTTGGAGTCCGGCATAGCGACTGGACGTGTGTGAGGATGACTAGCCCGGTGGGGTGCACGGGCATATGGGCGAGGCGAGTAGGTTGGGGCATTTAGGGTTATGGATGAGCGAATGACGTTGGTGCATGTGGGCATATGGGCTAGGGTGTGAGCGGGTGTGCACGAGGTGCCTTGCTAGTGCATGTGCAAGCAGGCGAGGCCTACTAGGCATGGGCGTGGGCATATAGGCTAGGCTTGCTAGGTGTGGGCATACGGGCGAGACCTAGCCGGGGCATGGGCGTATGGGTTTGGTCGGCAGAGGCAAGCGGACGAGGAGGCTTGGTTGGTCATATGTGATAGTGTGGCTGGTTGAAATTTTTCGAGAGAGGGAGAGGCAATCGACTGGTTTATAGAGAGAGAAAGTCTAGAATTTTTGGAGAAAAGTGGGTTTTTATATTGGGTATTTTAGGAGTTTTGGTTAAAATTTGGTTTGGTCCCTCATCTTACGTACTCGCTTTATTTTGATCCTTTTCTCTCTCATTTTTCTTGCATCCCTTGATTATATTCTTTTTCAATCTTTTTGTTTTTTTTATTCTTTATTTTTTGATTAAAATTTGGGTGCTAATACCTACCACAAGTCATTGCTCCTATAATATCACATCATATAGTTTTACAATTATAAGAAATAAAAAAACTCGACTACCTTAGGTTTAATATTTTTTTAGGTCAAACACAATTTTGATAAAATCTTTGCTATAAATTGAATATTTTCTAATTACGAGTGACTCAATCTACATAAAAATAACACATCTAAAATACATAACACACACTCAAAATGCATAATACAACACATGCCATGATCTATACAATTTCAAGTGATATAGTTTAATAAATACAACAACTAAAAAATTATTTCGTTACCTCGATTTAATAAATAAAATAAGTAAAAAACATATGTTCTACATTAGTTTACTAACTACAATAAATAAAAAGGAACCGTAATTACTATTTTCATAATCATCATCTAATTCTTCCTTTTCTTGAGTCAACTCGATTCATCTTAACTCTAATGTTCTTCATTAACTCTATAGACACATACACACACACACACACATATATACATGTACATGTACATACATATACGTATATGTACATGTACATACATATACGTATTTATACATGTACATACATATTCATCTACATGTATATGTACATACACACACACACACACATATATATGTGTGTGTGTGTGTGTGTATGTGTGTGTGTGTGTGTGTGTGTGTGTTTGTGTGTGTTATCTTAACAATTTAAGTTAAACATAGAGGACAATGAAACCTTACCATTAATCATTATCCCGATCATCATTATTATAATTTTTATCTAAGTCTTCATCTACATCTATTTTAAATTCAATATCATTATCTTCATTAATTTCATCCCTTTCTAAATTTATTAACGATCCGGATAGATCTTCAACGATTGACCTTCGTTATCATCAATTTGGATGACATTATGTTGGGCTTCTATATCATTTTTCTGAAATGGTTTCATATTTTCTAGATCGTGACGGATGATTTAGACACATCCATTGTTGCCCTTACTTTTTCCTTACACATAGCTAACCAATCGTGTCTAATGCGCTTCAAGATAAGATATGGAGCATAATACATCTAATGTGCTTGTGTTGCTAGGACAAAGGGATTAGATCTATTCAAAGTCATGTGACTATGTATTGTTAGTAGTTCGTACCGATCATGAACCCTTATATCAACACCAAATGAAGTATCATACCAATCGCATTTGAATAATACGATTCTCTTGATCGATAACACAGGATACCTAAGTTTTAATATATCAATCAACCTATCATAGTAGTCATTTTCCTCAATATTATAATTAATTCCTTTTATGCACATTCCACTACACATTGTAGCTCTATCCGAACTATGGCCTTCGATGTGAAACTTATGTTCGATCACAATGTATCTTGGATATAACTTTGTTGTTCATAAGGGGCCTTTTATATTTTTAATATAATGGTCGGTGAACAAGTTAGGTTGTGTATTACTTACCCGTAAAGTTGAAATCAATTCTATAATACTAGTATAACATTTCATCATTGTATCTTAATAGAAAAAAAATTCAAAATTAATGATACTCATATATCGATGTAATCATGATGCAAAATCATTTTCGGGTTGAGCATCAACCTCGTGCTTGGATATGTTGGGATTACTTTGATGAAGTTGGCTCATGAAATAGATGTTAAAAGAATAACAATTTTAAGATTTTTAATGTCTTTATTATGTATAATGATATTTAATATAGATGAGTATTGAATTTTTTTCTAATTTTAACATTTAATCGGTGTAAGGTGACACCTTATCATAGTTCAATAAAATGTATATATAAGATGCAAGTTTTTCTTCATCCGTCAAACACATGATTTTGCTCAACTAAGAGATCGGCTTTTGGTTTGAATATAGCAAATATTCCTTCAATGTCATCACATGATTATGGAGCACACTTAAAGTTATGTGACACTTTTTGATGCCTAGTATGCATATGAGACTCGAAGTAATTTGAACGGAACATTGATGCTTCTTTTTTCACTAAATATGCATTACAAATTGACTTTTCAACTTTCGTTTTGTTCTTTACATTATTTTTTTAGTTTTCAAAGATAACAACATTATATAGTATGTTAGCCAACAAATATTTAAAAACAAAATTAATCAAGGATTCAAAATCAATATATTTATGTTTTAAATGAATACATTTATCGATATTGTTCTAGTTCTTCTATTTTTGCTTATACGCCAAGTGGACTCGGAAGATGTTTCATTGAGTCAAGGAAACTTAGTGAAAATATACCCTCAAGTTTGTATAAAATTAAAGGTATTTTTATCTCGAGACGCATCATATCTTCAACCCTAATGACAATAGATGCCAATTCTTTGGAGAATAAACTCATTTTAGTAAGTGTTTTTCAAACATTTCTTGGTAATAGGTCACAAAAGACGATAGGTATTAATATCCGCAAATACATGACTATCATGACTTTTCATAACATGAAATCTAAGGTTGTTCATATCGACACATCTAGCCTAGTTCGACATATGTATGTAAGAAAACTTGAGTTGTTTAAGCCATTTAAACAATTGTATTTTTTATTGTTTGTTTCGGGTGTAGCATGCTTTAGGGTATTTTCTAGAGTCTTCATCTATTTCTAATTCGACCATCGATAATAAACTTTCAAATCATCTTTAGAGTTGGCATTGTCTTTGGTATTTTTGATGCACTCATAGCCATATTAAATACATTTTCAAAGATATTTTTTTCAATGTGCATCACATTCAAATTGTGTTGAATTATATTGAAACTCCAATATGAAAGATACTGGAATTTACTCTTTTTCTACCAACCATAAACTTTAGATATATTGTTGTTATACTCTTTGAAATAGTCTTCTATGACTTTTATCATCCCCAAATTTTCTATTTCATACAAAATATCCGTTCCGGACAACACCAAGGAGCAATGTTTGTGAAAAATGTATGTCTTTTAAACACATTCCTATTCCTCCTAAATGGATGACTTTTTGGTTGAAACTTATGGTGACTATCAAACTAAGAGGTCTCTATGTCATTATAGAGACTAAAAGCATTAGAATTTTTCATGTAATAATGGCATGTTGTTTTACCCTTAATATTCTAACCAAAACATTGAATATATGAGAAAATCACCGATTGTCTACATGATTGTGGCTCGTATCTAAAAATTATGCTTATGGGACACATCATAGGTAATCATACAAAATTATAATAAATCAACCAACTCTTTAATAAATAGTTGTAAGTACACGTCTAGGTTGATCTTTCATTTTTTTGATCTTAAGACAATTATAGTTAAAAACATATATTTTTCCTTTATATGATTTTATAATGGTAAATTATAAGGCATTACAATTACAAGCCATGAATAATATTGTTGTCTAGATATACCAAAAGGATGAAACCTATTAGTATATACTCCTAATCTAAGATTTCTAATTTTTTATGTCAAAGAAGGATGTGTTTAATCAAAATATCACCATGCAAAGGAGTCGAGCAATGACGCATGATGTCTATCTCAACTTCATGTTCGGTGTGTTGTGCCATGTCATATCACTAACTACGACATTCGATGCATACTTTCTCTATAATAGCAAGGTTAGGAGAAAATAATATATTTTTTTATACGAGACGTAAGTTTGTCTAATCGATTTCGACCTAGAACTTCGACATTGAGGATTGTCATAGGTTTTACAAGTATTCTCTCACTATCTTCACTCCAATAAATCATGCATCTATTTATATAGTTATAGATCTATTAAATTGGTAAACCCATCGGTTTCACCAATTTTTTTCTTATTGTAAAAGTCTTCCTGCTCGTGGAAAAATTTGTTATTGTGAAAATAAGTGAATACTAACTATGATTAAGAATTTTATCTTTGGAAAAAAAGCAAGCGTGAGTGGAATACCACAAAGAGAAAGGGTTCCTAATAAAAAAACAATTTTTGTAATTGGAACAAGTTTTGTTAAACCACCCATAAGAATCATATTTTGACTCTTATATGGAGAATAGCCAACAATAACTGCCATTGAATGAATAATGGACCCAGATCCTAAGAACAATAATGTTTTTGAATAAGCATGCGTAATCAAATGAAATAAAACAGACTCGATAAAAGCCCATACCTAAAGCTAACATCGTATAACCTAATTAAAACATTGTAGAATAGGTTAAAACTCTCTTAATATCTTTTTGAGCAAAAGCTAAAGTAGCTCCCAATAGTAGCATTATTATACCTATTAAAGCTAGTAGCTTCATTACATAAGGTATAACTCGTGAAAAGAGGAAGAAATTGAGCTACAAGAAAAATTCCCACTCGCTACCATGGTAGCAGCATGTATTAGAGTCGAAATAGGAGTAGGTCCTACCATGGCATCTAGTAACCACACAACATACGAGTTATTCGCCGGCATCAACTCTTTTATAAGTTGATATAAGTCATCATAACACCTCTTCAAAAAATGATGTTTAAACTTCAAGTGCAATAAACGTGTCAAAGCGAGATAATTGTGAGTGATTTTCCGAATAGGGTTAGATCTTTA